ATATATATACATTTTTAGTTGAAGAGTATCGGAGGCCCATCGGCTATAGGGGTCCGGGTGCGGCTGTTCAGGGGCCCTGATGGAGGGGACGCTCCTCAGAAGCACCCTGGTCAACCACCAACCCCCCGGCACACACACACACTCTCCAAACATGACTTTTTCATTAAGCCGCTGAATTCCTGAGCTCCAGTTGGAGGTGATTTATCAGCACTGAGCTTCATTTGAGGATCATATGAAACAGACACAGCACACACACAGCCCATCTCTCTCATGCATTATTGTGTTTCACATCCAGGCCCAAGGGTGTGTGTGTGTGTGTGTGTGTGTGTTTAGGGTTGGGTAGGAGATTAAGAGGAGATAGCATCTCCAGGGGTCCCTCATGTGGATAGCTTTAGATGAAATGCTGTGTGAAATGTGTGCTTGTGTGTGTGTAGGGAAACTGAAAGAAGGGAGCCTCCCCACTCATGGGACGTGTCTAATGAACCCTATTAAGGCCTCTAGTGTCAAGTTGGATTCCCTTATGTGGACTTACACTTGAATCGCCTCGCCCTGGTGTGTGTGTGCTGTATGGAATCATTTTTATCAGTTTTTGCCCACTGGATTTGATATTTGGGCTTGTTTTAAACTTTATGAAGGTAAACAAATAAATAGCTTTATTTAAGCTACACATGAGTCAAATGTGTTCAACTATTCTTAGGATTTTTTTTGGCCCTACATTTTACATTTGTGGCTGTTTTTGATAACTTCTTGGGGTGTTATTGCACTGAGCATCTCGCCTACAATCCATTTTGAGAATTTGGCGATGGCCCCTTTAACTCATTTAAACTATGCTAGCAGATGAGTTATAACATAGTTATAAACGTTGGTGACAGTGAAATGTATCAGTGGGTTAAATTAGGGCTTACTGTGTGTTACTGTGTTATCTATTACTGTATAAAAGAAGCGCGAGGATTTCTTTATTTGTTGCACTGAGGGAAAGAATAAGCTCATTCAAAGCACATTTTGTATCAGTAAGTGTTTTATTATTGATTTCTTCAACCAGAGTAATGATTAAATGCAACTGACTTAAATTCCTATTTATGCATTTTCTTGTTCAAAAAGGTAGTTTGTGACACACTAAAACAAATCTACAGATTTCCATCATGTTCTTTACATGTCAACAACACCAACAGCATTGAGAAATCACGATTAATGGAGAAGAATACATTTTAGAAAGTTTCGTGGGGTTCATTTCTGTTCATAAATAATGGTGCTAATAGCCAAATGCTTCTGAATCTTTCTCAGTCATTCCCATCCAAAACACTGTAGTGATTTGCTCACTACCAGCACGTGTAGCAGCAGCTCCAGGTCATTGGCACAGCGCCTCTATATAGGTAGTTTGAGCCAGGCTGGGCCCTGTCTGCAGCCTGCTCATGGTTGCGGTGATATATGGCTCTTCTCTGGGCCAGGCCAGCTCAAGTTCACCCCTTAGTAAATCCTGGCCTTTTTATAGGAGCTATAAAACTCGTAGCTTTTCTTCAACCTCCTCAAGCTGGCTTTGAAGTTTAGTTTACTTATCGTCCGATTTCGTTTCGGTTTGTGTGTTTTTGCTTTCCCTCTCTCTCTGTGCTGAAGCAGAATTTTGTCGTTGACTACTTGCATGCAGTTAAGAATCATTGATCCTTTCGTCCTTTTTTTTTTTTTCCCGCTTGTGCTCGGGACATCTGTTCTGACTAAAACCAGTGTGCCGTTTCCCAGGATCGATTTGGTGTTTTATGCGAGTAAATCTGCCGTGCGACTTGCCGCCTGAGCTTGTGTTGTGAAGGAGGGAGAGGGGTAGAAACCGAAGCCCAAACGTCCAGCAGCACCTACTCAATGACCTCACTCCTCTGCGCCCAACAGGAAGGAGGGAGAAGGAGAGAGGGAGAGAGCATGCAAGGAGAGAGGCAAAGCCTTTTACAATCACCTAATAACTCCATTACACGAAGCTGTGGGGCACGCCGAAAAAGCAAAAGCCCATTCCTGAAAGCCGTGGCCCTAATGTACAGCTGAGGTGTACAATTGAGACACACGATACCCAGGCCGATGGAACACAATTGCCCAGAAAAAGAACCCTTAGAGCAATATTAGGATATTACCTCGAAAATTAAATATTATCAGAGGAGGGGTGAGAGCATTTTAAGGAACATAATATTTTCCCCCTGCACTCTCTGCTGTCAGCACGTGATGTGTCATTAATTGGGTTAAAAATCTAATGTTTCTGGAGCTTTTTGCGTCCGAAGCTGGTGTGGAAAAAAGCGCACCTCCTATCTGTGCTGCTGGACAGAGTGGGCTTGGCCTCGCCTTAATGAATCAATTTGTTTTCCCCGACCTTTGTCAAGGTTTGGGGGTGGTCAGCACAGGAGATTAAGAGCCTCTGCTAAGAACAGGGGTGTGTTTTTGCTCAACAAAAGGCAGCAAAATATGTATTACATTGTCACCGGTGTGGCCTGATTCTCCTTCCTTCCTTCATTCCGTCAACAAATCTACAGTAAAATCACATAAAAAAACAAATGCAAGCGGTAATTGCTCTGGCTGTCATGGCCCATTTCTGTTTACTTAGGAGCGGGGCTCTCAAAGACCCTCTGAAATACTTTTTTAAAAGATGACATGGAATATGCATCCTCCCATTACAAGGGCATTTCATTTTTTAATAGTTCGGCTGGCAGATCGTAATGAAACATTAATGACCGACGGCGAGTGTTATTTTTTGGCGTTGGGTATATGATTGGATCCTGATTCCCCAGCTGTGGAGAAATGTTTGTGGCTCTTCATCTATTTCGCTCTACGAGCATTAAATCTCACCAGAGAGGCGATGGCTATAAAGATTAAGAGAAGAGAGAGAATTACCTGTGATTGGCATTGATTTGCAGCCACAGAAATCCATCGATAGGCCTTCAAGTGGCGTATGAAACACCCATGGCAGGACTGTATGAGAGAGCGATAATGGTATGCATGAGCAAGGAGCTTCCAGGCAACATGCAGAGATGCTGATGAGGTAGTGGTCAGGCACGTGTAGTGGTAAAGCCGGACTATCCAGTCTCATTGATTGAGGCCGGTATGCTCAATGATCAGCGTGTGGAAGTGTGTTGTGTCACTATAGGGTGTGTGATGTGGTCAGGGCTTGTTGCGGCTTTGCGGATTGTCGGACATGCCCCCCAAGGATCTTTTCCCCTGTTGAGGAATGTTCTGGATGCTTTCAGAGTGTGGTTTTATATCTCTCTTTCTCTCTCTAACTCTCTCTCGCTCTGTCTGAGGGAGGGTTTGACTCACTGGAGATCAATATTTAGCATCCCATGCGTGAAACGGGCAGATGTTTGGAGTTTCCTTTTCAGAGACGAGAGGGCTTCTCTTGAGTGAAGGAGATCAATGCTTCCTTTCCTCAGTGTCTCCATTCTCCTGCTCACCCTCTGAAAAGAAACTTCTGGTGTCCACCCCTGTCCACCCCCCGCAGTTTATATGGACGGTTGACCTATGCAGTCTCAGCCCACAACATATGTTCCTTAGTAAGCAACTTCTGCAGTAACGTTGGCAAAAAGCTTAGACTCAGCGATATTAGTGTCAAACTCTTATTTTACATGCATGTGAAATGTTACGCTATAAGGACAGATTCGGTCAGTTACTACATGATAGTGAAGTTTGGTAAAGTAACATTTTAACCCTTTTAGGCATGAATAGTGGCTTTTTCTGTCGTTTTATCGACTCTTTTCCGTTAATAACGTATTTTCCAAATGCATACGTTAAGAATGTGATCTAACCAAGCCAAAATTCTTTGATTTTTATTTAAGTTGTGGTACAACCTATACCGTAAGAAAAAAGGTAAAAATTTTCATTCATCAAGGTTCAAACAGTGTAAATGTTCTCTGAGTACAGCAGTTGATCCAATTGTGGATTTACATATTTGTACATTTTTATAACCTAATGTTTTATAATAAAACAATAAAATAAAAGTGTGGCGTCAAGACGGGGTGTGTGGAGTCAATACAACTTAAAAAGTATAATTGCAATGGATTATGGTACAATTATATGTTCCCTGACTAAAGATGTACCCTTTAGGGCGCCACACCACACCGTTAGAAATAAAGGTTCTGTTCAGGTACATTTTCTGTTCATTAAGTTACAAACAATGTAAATGTTCCCTCAAAGGTACAACAGTGGTGTTAAGGTCTGATTGTGAACCTTAAATCAGTTTTTCCAGGTGAAAAGTTTGTATTTGTACCTTTTCATAACCGAATGTTTTAAAACAGAACAGTAAAATAAAAGTCTGGAGACGAGACGGGGTGTGTGGAGTCAGTACAGCTTAGAACATATCATTTCAATGGATTATGGTTCAGTTATGTTCCCTGACTAAAGGTACTGAGATGGACCCTTGAGGGAACCACCCCAGTGACAGTTTAGTACTTTAAGTACTTTTTTAAGAATTGAGCATATTTTATATGTAGTGATAGAAACACGGTAGAACACGAAAAAGCTCCTGTTCCATAGACTAAAGCGAATCAAATTGTTTTACTGAGCTCATGAATGGGACATAATGCTCTGCAGCATTTTTCTTGTTTGTTTGTTTAGGGTTTTTTTGGACCCGGTACCAGACCACGCTGGGTTAACGTGGTAAAACTGGAAATTCAACCTCATGCAGAGCCTCTAAACAGGCGTCACTATAACGTCTTGTTAGGTTTAATTGGAGTTTTTCCAACATTCTCTAAAGCTTGTTCAACCTCGCAACAGTTTCTATGAAAGAACAAATTTGTGGGAGGAGCTTGGCCGAGTGCCACACACCCTCCCGCTCACACAATGCCTGGTTCACAGAAGACTGTTCTGGTGGAAGAAGTTCTGTGTTAAACAACAAGACCCTGATTTGTAATTGATTTGTTCATTTGCAAGCAGCGTGATTGAAAGTGAGGAGGCAGCGTCAGTCTGCAGCTTAGTGCTAACATCTCTCTCTCGCTCTTTCTCTCTCTCTCTTTCACTTTCTCTCTCAATAGCACTTGCAGCAGCACGAGAGTGCAGTGGAAGGTGAGGCATGCTACTATCACTGCATGCTGTGTAACTACTCTACCAAGGCCAAGCTGAACCTGATCCAGCACGTGCGCTCCATGAAGCACCAGCGCAGCGAGAGCCTGCGCAAGCTGCAGCGTCTGCAGAAGGGCCTGCCTGAGGAGGAGGAGGACCTGAGCACCATCTTCACCATTCGCAAGTGTCCAACCAGCGACACTGGTAAGTGCAAGTAACATGCATTCATAAACACACACACTCACACACACACACTCTTAAAAATAAAGGTTCCTAAATGGTTCTTGGCTTCAATGTGATTCTAGATATAAACCTTTAGTATAGAAGCTTTACATTATTTGAAGACTTTGTAAACTTTTAACTTTTAATAAGAATTATACATAGTGACGTCTCATTCGCAAAAATGTTCTTTAAAGAACCAAACATTGAAAGGCCCTTTATGGAACCAAAAGCAGCCCAGAGAACCTTTTTGGCATGTTTATTTTTAAGAGTATCTTCCCAACTTCACTGCTCTGCCCAGTTAAAACTATATATGGTAGGACAGAGTTTCATATTGTCATTGGTTACAGCTGTTTATTTCTGTGATCAGTTACCGTCAGTCGGCTATTGTTTGGTTAACTGGCTAATTTCAGTATTACGCCTTCTTTAGTTGCTCGCCTTTTGCTGTCATTTAAAGTTTGCCTGTGTGCTGTGTGATATCTTTTTTTAGGTTATAGAATTTTTTTGAATTAAAATAAAAAAAAAAATAGCGACCATATTTACCTGTAGTCTACTGCAATCTGTCCGAATTACACGTCATATGAATACAGAGCAGATGTACTTTTTTAGTACAAAATAAAAAGCCGCATAGTTTCTATATGATCAACATTGTAGAGTTAGTCTGTTCATTCTTGCAGCCCTCTTGTGGAGCTCTCTGTCATAAGCGATAGATTTAAGACTGTTTTTGGGATGTCGACACCTAATGTACATCCTGTTAATGCACTGTCAAAATACCGAAAGACATTCCCATAGCACACGTGTCTTTTTGTTTCCTAAAGCCTGGTCTTTCCACTCACAAATGAGGCAACATGCAGGCTAGCACTGAGGCAAAAGCATCTTCCTGCTCCCAGCACATTGACTGAATAGGCTTTGAACCCTGTTCGAAAAAAATGTGCCCAATATCCTTAACAAGAGCTTCGACTCTTCATTCAGCTTCTCTTTATGCTCAAAGCACATTAACCACTTTCAGAGAGCTGAAAGTTCCTCAGTGACTTTTTTTCTTCTTTCCCCGCGATATCGCGCACTGATATTCAAAGAGTTCCAGCAGACAGCCATCCGCTCCTGGGCTGCGTCTTTGACATGAAAGGGACGGGAGAGGAGTGGAGCAGTTTAGTTTATAGATCACTGATCAGCTGGGAGGATGTCCTGAAGAGTGGGTGGAGCCAGGAACTGCATGCTTATTAAACCCAGTTGTTCTTAACCCTGGTCCTCGAACACCCACTTTTCCCAGCGCTCCCACTTTAAGTGAAGGGCTTGTTAATTATCTGATTAGTTGGATCAGGTGTGATAGAGACCAGCATATGCAAAGCAAGGATGCTTCAGGACCAGGGGCATGTTGGCAGGCATCGTTCTGGCCAAAAACAAAAGGCGCAGGTTTTGAGAGTGGGGGTCCTCGCCTTAGTCACCGATTAAGGAGATGGAGCTGCGGTCAATTAACACTCTGTCTCGGCGCAGATTTGGTTTTCTAATCACTTTGACTCCTGCGCTCTGACAAAGGGGCTCTATTGTGCGTCCTGCCTCCCCTCCTCTTCCGCCAGTCAGGCGGCCCAGCCTGTGCACAGCCGCCCTCTGTGCTGCGCAAGAGAGACAGAAGGAAAAGGGGGGAGAAAAAAAAACGAGTCAGCCTCTGAAGACGCTTTGTTCCGAGGAGGCACGGATAATGAAGCCAGCGGCCGGGAAATTGCGCAAAAGGCAGTCACAGATCTGAGGCAAATCATTAGAGAACATATTTAGCCGAGCAATTAAGGACAATTAAGCTTTCTGCTCGCTGCACTCCAAATATGTTAATGACTACAGTACAGTGGACAAGTGAACATGCAAAGGCAAGAGGAAGGCCCACTTAGGTTAAAAGGGTGGGGGGTTGGGGATTTTAGTGAATGTGTGTGTGTTGCTGGGGAGGGAGGTGCAGAGGTGGTGGGGAGGGGAGGGTTCACAAACAAGTCTGATATATTTTTTTTTTCGCTCACTCTCCCTCTCTCCTCTCCTCTCCTCTCTCGTGTTTTTTTGGTTGATGTATTTATTTATATATTTTCTCAGCTAACCTTTGATGTGCGTTAATGGATTCCCTTGTTTGTGAGGCTGGCTGGAGGTTAGGTAATGGCTCCTGCAGTGGGGTTGTGTGGGCAGAGCTGCACAAACACACATGCAAACACACACACATACACACACATGCTGACATCTTCCTTCTGCCGTGTTTTCTTGAAGTTGCACCAAAGCCAAGGACTTTTGCGTGTGAAATGTTCAGGCATTTAAATGGCACACATTTTGGTTGCAATGTCATAATTGTTCTTGCATTAGCGAAATGAGATTTTTTTTGGGAGGTTGAGGGGGTGGGCTGGGGGTGCACGAGAAATGCCCACATGCTTTGATGATGGCTGGCTTGTTCTGTAGCCATGTAAGCTTTTGATGTCTTTAATTACGACCCTTCTTTCCAGACTCCAGTATTATTGAATTTCTGTACTTTTCTGTCAAGAATATATAGGTGATTAAGACTTACGGCTAGGCTTGTGTTGATTGGGAAATTCTGATGAAGGACAAGGTGAGTGCAAATCGAACTGCAGCTGCTCAAAGGGAGGCCTGGTAGGTCTTATTATCAGCTATTGTTTTGTGCACACATGAAAGAGAAAGAAAGTGAGAGAGAGAGAGAGAGAGAGAGAGAGAGAGAGAGACAGAGCGAGTGAGTTGATACCTGCTAACTGACGTCACGGTCATGGGGAGTAGCAGTCAGTCAGGGCCCTTCCAGAGGAACTGCTCTGTTAATAGCCTGTGACGCGCTGTTTACCAAGCCGGGCCGGCTGCAGTGCGAGCGCTGAAGGCCTGATTGATTGCCCTACAGATGCAGGATCAGGCTCGGGCTCCCGCCATACAGGCCAGCTCTCCCTCTCTCGCTTGCTCACTCAGTGCCAGGAACAGCCTGGGCCTGGGCCTGCTGCTCTTCTGCAGCCAGCTATGTCCGTTTAAAGAGCATGGGGAGAGTTTCACTCCCCTTACCCTGGCTCAAGCTCACTTTTTTGACCCTCCCTTCCCCCTCCTCTTATATATATACACACACAAACATATATATATATATATATATATATATATATATATATACAGTTTTAGAGGTCCGTTAAACGAAATGAAGTGTGTAATAAAGAAAGTCTGCCTTTTTTTGCTCGCCTCAATCCCCCGCTTTCCTAGTTCGAGCATCTTGATCGAATTACGCTGATAATGAACATAACTCTTCAGCGGCCAGTGCAAAAACGCTGCAAATTCCTTGCTTTCCGTCTGCCATCGCCTTCCAACTCTTAGCCCGTTCTCTCTTTTTTCCCCCCCAAAACTTCCATGTCACTTCATGAGGTCTTGTCTCCAACCTTAGTCTGTGACCCCCACCCCCTTTAACCACCATTGCCTCCCCCACGCCCCCCTCCCCCCCTTTGGAGTTGAACCATTCCCTCCTGGTGTAACATTTAATTTCCTCCTCGCTAGCTCTTCTGAGGCACTGCGCTCTTTCTTGTGGTTGAGGGGCAGTCGCTAAAGTGGTAGAAGGTTTCCCTGCTTGTTAAAACAAAGCTGGCCCTAGATTTCTGGGTCAACTAGGCAGGAACTCCCCTGGCTGCTGCTTTGGGCGGCATGCGCAGCTTGGTTGGTGTTAGGTGCTTGGCCACTTCTCGATGCCGAGCCGGGTCCCCCCCGCCATCTGCCCCCTGCTAGCCTCTCCCTGAACTTCAAACAATACCGTGCTATACAACCTCAGGATATGACGGTACCCCAGCAGAGAGGTGGAAGGAGGTATGTTTTGGGCCCTGGCTACTAAGCCAGTATTGCCCTCCTCTCCTTGTTTTGAATAGCCTCTCTACTCTGTCCAGTCTCTGAAAACTAATGCATTCAGAGCTTTGTGAAATGACACCTAGAAACCTGGGTGTGCGGTGGCACCTCTCAGCCTTGGCATTCTTTACAAAACAATTAGTACGGAAGGAGTTGAGAATCCCGGCAGCACACATTAATGCACATTAACCACCAGCTACAGCGCTGTAAAAGCCCTGCATTAAGGCTGGCCGGCCACCCCTCAGGGAGGGCTAGCGTGGCTCTTTCTGAACGGCCTCCGCAACTGTCAGATCCCATTTTCTGGTCATTTGTTAGCACCACCAATGAGGATCATTTTTTAAAAAAGATCCATACCTCTAATTCGGAGAAAGTGTGTCATAGCAGATGCTGCTGATGAAAACAATCGATTGTGGAAATATTGATTGCTTTGTTTTCAGTTTGATCCATATTTTCTGCCTTGCTTTGTTATTTTTTGGCTCTCAATAATAACCAAGTCCCCGCTCTGATTAATATAACGGTCATTAATGAGAACTCAAGCTAGGCGTATGTACTGAGTCATGGCACGGCATGTGCAGATCGGCGAAGGAGAGGAGCAACGACACAGATGCAGAAGTGTGGGGACCTCTGGGGCCAAAGAGCAGGCAGTGTGGGTGGAGTTTGGATGCCATGTGTCTTAGCCCTTCTCCATTGCCCACGGAGTGCTGGGGTGGCAGAGATGAATCTTCTGTGCTAATTAGAGTCATGCGAGGATAAAAGGCAGCCATTGTCTCTAATTCATTCCTCCACTCAGAAAATGTGCTGCTTAAGCGCGCTGCCCTCTAGCTTGGACCCTGTCCATCTTTCTTAACCCCTTCATTGGTCAGTGAGACGAAGGAAATGTGTGAGACGTTCCCACATCAGACACAGACCAAAACACACAACTCTCTGCGTGGGTATGTGTGATTTGACAGGAGCTCTTCCATGAGTGACGTTCACCAGGGCATACAGCTGGTTGACACATTGGGGTCTCTCACATCACAAGAGTTAATAGATTCAGGTTATTTTTTAAAGTTCTAGAATGAGGTGCAGAAGAGAAAGACAAAAAGAAGGTGTTAGGTGGGAATGGGAGCTTTTTCAGTGGATGAGTGGTGACCTCATGC